ATATAATTTTTAATTGATGATAATTTTAATAACATAGAATTTTTAAAATATTAGAAATTAATACTCAATAGTTGAAATTTTGATATTATATTTTGATATTATCAAGAAATTTCTAATAATTACAAATTTTCAAAAGATAATAAAATTCAACTAAATGGTATTGATTAATGATATTTTTAAATTGTATGCTATTAAAAATTATCGTTAATCAAAATTATAGTTAGTATTTTTCTTTATTGTGAACATTTGCAATCATTAGAATTTCTTGATAATATCATAAAAGTAGTGCTGGCAAAAAGGAATCTATATATTTTCAGGGTCTAAAGCGGGTCAACGGAGAGTTTTAACTAAACCCTACTTTGAAGCTTTAGCAGGAAAAAAGGAAATTTCGGACATATTGTAGCGCCAAAGTAGGTGCTATTATATACATACGATACAATGCATAACATCTACTTTGACTCTCTTATGCCTACCTCAAAATAAAAGATTAAGGTTCAATATAGGTGCTAAATTTCGACTCGGGACCACAAAAGATGGTTTTCATTTATTTAGGTAAGTAAAATGTATTTATTTATAATTCGAGATTTGTAATATTTGAAGATTATGTTTTAGTTAAAAATGTAAATATTTCAGATTTCCATTGAATCGTCCAGACATTTTAAAAATGTGGATGAATGCCATTGGAAGAGACGGTTTTGAACCCACAAAATATCATTTAATCTGTAGTGCTCATTTCATGCTTGAATATTCCTCTTAACAACCAAAAAAATCAAAATTGAGTTACACAAAATGTTTTACAAAATGGCGGACGTTAAAGATAGACTTTGAGAAATGGGAAAAAATTTGTTTTGTTTAAATTATTGCATTGCTCAAAGGAGTCCACTGCCGGGTACAAAAATGTATGCGTTTTTAAGCTCATTTATTTCCTAACAAATCCATATTTTAAAAATTTTTCTACGACTTTTTTTAAAAAAGTTACAACGTTTTGAAAAAAAATGTTACAAAATGGACTTTTCTTTTGTAAAATTGCAATTCAGAAACAAATTATCGGGGAAAACATTTTAAAAAGGAAATTAAAGTGTAAACTTTAAATCTTAAAACTTTTCTATTTTTCGATGCACGTGAAGGTAGACAGTTGGATTTAAATCTTGTGCGAGTACGTGCGTGTACGTATGCATGCATGTGTCCTGCTCTTGGCGTTACCCAGGATCAACGGTGTGGACGTGGCAGACATCTTATTGCGTGCGCGCGCGCGCGCGCGCGCGTGTGTGTGTGTGTGTGTGCGCGCGCGCGTGCGTTGTGTGTGCGACACGCGTGTGTTTAGTAATGCATATTGCCTCCTCTCGCATTTAGCAATTCTTGTATTCGTTGGGGCATACTGTTAATCAAATTTGTTATTTCTTCCTGTCTCAAATTATTCCATTCCTCTTGCAAAGCATAGCGGAGTGCTGCTAACGATTGAGCATTATGTTTTTGAATTCTGCGTTTCAGTATGTTCCATAAATGCTCTATAGGATTCATATCAGGACTCATGGCAGGCCACACCATTCGTTCAATGTTTATTTCATTAAAAAAATTGGTCACTATTCGTGCGACATGTGGTAAATATAAATTGACGATTATAATATTTTCAAAGTAAAGAGTGAAATTAATTCTTAGTGTTTGAAAATAAGGAAAATTTAATTTAAAAATAGTAAAAACTACAGCAATTAAAAATGTACAATGCAAGTTGTAAGTAACATTTAAATGTATTTGGATTAATTGTAATTTAACGCATTTGTAATTACTAAATAACATAA